GGGGCTCTGCAAAGCCCACCAAATCTTCCTGTGCTGGTCCTGGGCCCTTCCCCATGTGTCCAGGGCCAGAGTGTATCCCTTCACGTGGGATGGGCTCTCAAAGTCCCTTCTTGCACCAGGGAAAAATACTAATCCACCACCAGAGGCTCCCTGGAGTGCAGGGGCCTCCTTATTGACATCCATGTTCAGGGGTCTAGATCAGTCTTGTACTGGCCTCCCCGACAGCATCTGGGGTCGATGTGTTCTCCCTTGTTCAGGCCAATTGTTCCTGTGGGTTTCTCCAACCTGGTACAGACCCCTTCACTCTTCATTCCTCCCTTTCTTCAACTATATTCCCGATTTCAGCTCAGTGTATATCCGTGGATGTCTGTCTCTGCTTCCATCAGCCACTGGATGAGGGCTCTAGTTCCTGGATCGGTCAGCGGAAAGGGCTACAGAAATCTTTTAACCGAGTTTTATACAATGAAGCCACTGACTCCAACTGACCCAGATAGCAAAGGCTATCAAGTAATAATCTGTATAGTAACCACCATTTACGGTAGATATTTTATGAAATTTCTTCCATCCTATTTTCAGTAAATGATTATCATAGCATACAGACACATGCATTACTTTGGGGCTGGCATGGAAAAGCACATAAAACATCAGCTTAAAACATTAGCTTAGTGTGTGAAAGTTAATTACAATTGTTTTTGATACAGGGTCTCTGTGAAGCCCTGGTTGGCCTCAAACTCATATCCACCTGCCTCTGCCTCTGCCTCTGCCTCAGCCTCAGGAGTGCTGAGATTAAAGGCTTTGCCACCATGCCCATTTACTTTGTTCTACTAAAGGTAGGCTAAACAAACTGAGTACACAGTAGAGTCCCACAGAAGTCCTTTAGATTGTAGGAGATAGTTTATAATAATTCATCACCACAGTATGCTAATAAACTAAGTGCTGTTTTGTTACTTGCCTACACTCAAGATGGAGGGAATCCAGGGATTGGTGCACACCTTTAACCCCCCCAGAGGATGGAGGGAACCCAGGGATTGGTGCACACCTTTAACCCCCGCAGAGGATGGAGGGAACCCAGGGATTGGTGCACACCTTTAACCCCCGCAGAGGATGGAGGGAACCCAGGGATTGATGCACACCTTTAACCCCCGCAGAGGATGGAGGGAACCCAGGGATTGATGCACACCTTTAACCCCCGCAGAGGATGGAGGGAACCCAGGGATTGGTGCACACCTTTAACCCCAGCAGAGGATGGAGGGAATCCAGGGACTGGTGCACACCTTTTAACCCCAGCAGAGAAGGAGGCAGGTGGATCTCTGAGTTCGAGGCCTGCAGGCCTGCAAGAAACCCAGTGTTTTTGTTTGTTTTTGAACAAAACAAGAGATGGAAGGAAGTACTGAATTTGAGGCAGTGGTTAATTTCAGGCAGCAGTACCTTTAATCTTTTGTGTTCCAAGACCTTGCTTCTATTCATGGAATCTTTGTTGTAGATGTCAGATTAAGAGCCCTACCAAAGGGTTGCACAGGTTTGCAAGGATGATAAAATGCAGTGAAGTAACATTATTGTGCTTCTATTCAATTGAAGTATTATGAGGACATAAATGAGCCTTGTAAGTGAGCTTCATTAGAGCTTTATGATGGTATAGCATACAAATGGAGCAAGAGAAGGACATTCTGGTAGAAAAGGAGTATGGCTTGACTCCCCCTTCATTGAAATATAAATAGGCTTATTTTTATTAATGGCAAGGAGTCACAAATAACACTAGAAAAAGAATTTGGAATCAACACACAGCCTTGCATTCCAAGGGGTTTTGTTAAGTTTGTTTTTTAGTAGTTGTGTGTGATTCCCGCCAGATTTATTTAGCCAGTATAAAATTCCTATTGTATGTTAATTTTTTTAATCCATGAAGCTAAGCATATGATAATAAATTCTGATGAGTCTATAATGGACACTGTGGGAGCTTAGTAGAGATCTTGTTACATCTAGAAAGCTAAGGAAAGTAAAAAAAGATCAAAGAACTGTTAAGGTGAAGATCAGGAGGTGAACTAATAAAGCAAATCTTTTCTATCTTTTGCTGAGGTGTTTAGAATTGTGGGCCAGTGTTTCCCAGAATGTAATAGATGTTCATTGTAAAGAACTTTTTTCTTCACCATATTAATTAAGAAATGCAGGATTAGTATTTATATTCTAATCTGAAGTGTGAAGAATGATTTTTAGATGTCTGTGCTACAAAAAAAAAAATCCCCTGAGACTGGTAAACTCTTGGCATGGTGGTATTTTTGTTATGTCAAATACTGTTTAGAAAAGTTGAGTATGCTCTTTGATTTTTTGTTTGGTTTTGTTTTGAGACAAGGTTTCTCTAACAGCCCTAGCAGGCCTCGAACTCACAGAGATCCCCCTGCCTCTGCCTCTGCCTCTGCCTCTGCCTCTGCCTCATGTGTATTGCCAGCATGTGTTCGTCTGTGCACCTGGTACGTGTGGAGGCCAGAAGAGGGTGTTAGATCCCGTGGACCTGGAGTTAGATGGTTGGGAGCCGTCACCTTGGTGCAGGGAATCAAATGGGTCCTGTGGAAGAGCAGCATCTTGATTTATGAAGGTTTTGTTTTGTTTTGTTGTGTTGTGTTTTTGAGGTATATAAAACAATTGGTTTCTTTTCTCCCTCTTTTGCTCTCTTCCCCTCCTATTCCCGCTCTCTCTCTAGCCCCTCCTCTTCGGTGGCTTTTTGAGACAGCCTAGTCTTGAACTTGTGGTCTTCTATACCTAACCGACCTCCCAAGTACTAAAATAGCAGGTGTGTTCAGAGATGCTGGGGTAAAATAGTTTTCTGGATAAGTATTTCTGAAGGGATTTATTGTCAATTTAGAAGAAAATCTTTTTGTTCGTTGTTTTGTTAAGATTTTGTTCGTCAATGTTAAGCTAGTCAAAAAAGACTTAAAATTATGCAAGCCACTTTGACCTTTATTGTTGATTTGATACAGAGACTCGCAGTCCTCAAAGAGGAGTCAGTAGTTGTATTGTTAAATGTTTCATTTTCTCAAGATCATGACCTGTACTGTATGGTATGAAAGATGCACTTAGTGCTAGGAATAAATAGCATAGTAGACAGTCTACATTTAGGCTTCTGGGATGGGGGGGGAGTTCAATTTTATCAGACTAGTTTGTTTGAGACCTGTTTATAGTTTCTTATAGGTCATCACTAGTGGACCCTAGCCCAGGCTTAAAATTAGGCTCAAGGAGCTAGAGAGATGGCTCAGTGATTAAGAGCACTTCCTATTCTTCCAGAGGACCTCATTCTGTTCCCAGCACTAACAACAGGCCATTCGGGCCACTCCAAACTACATGTAACTCCAGTTCCCACCTTCTTCTGGCACACCCCAACACACACACACACACACACACACACACACACACAAATACATCTTTTGAGGGGTGGTTAGGCTCAGTAGGATCTCTAGTCCAATATATATTGAAAACATATTATTAGATTTTTTTATTTTTTCCTTTCTTTTCACTTCCCCTAAACCAGAAATCTGGCATTTATCCTCTACCCCACCGCTAAGTGCTGGGGATTGGACCTAGGGCATCATACATGCTAGCTGGAATTTTAACTTCATTCTTGGTTTCTATCTCTAAAAATGTCTTCATCTGCTCAGTTCTGACAGGTGGGTTTCTTTTGTTTAAATGTTTGGTTAGTTTTTGTTTGTTTTTGTTTTTTGGGGGGGGGTGTTTTTCGAGACTGGGTTTCTCTGTGGCTTTGGAGGTTGTTTGGTTAGCTTATTGCAGGTTTCTTGTCTTTTCCTTCTGGTTCACCTTCAGCATTGCTGTTTCCACCTAACCCTGACACTTAATGTGGATGCAATCAGATTGTTACTGTGAAGGACGCATGTCAACTCTGCTGGTCTTGTCACTCACTCGCAGAGCATAGACACCCAAATAAATGCAAATTCTTTCCACTGTTACAGACAGGGTTTTTAAGCTTCCTATAGTGTGCGTCTGTGGAGTATATTGTTATTAATAATATTATGTTTATATCACATCATTAATGGTAACATTTTAATGATGATTTGGTGAATATTCATAAGTGGTATTGATGTGGTTTGTTAGTGGAAACAGTACGGTGCAGTCACTTGGAAAAGCTGGACAGTTTTTCATAACATTAGACAGCAAAAGAACCAGGAATTCTTTTGCTGTGTATATTTAATAGGAACAAAAACATGTCCATAGAAAAGCACATACATTTTCCTAGTGATTTGATTCTTAGTATTCAAATAGACAAAATGTCTTTGTGAAATGGAATATTATTCAATAAAATTATATACCTTTTGACACGAATGAAACATAGAGACACTGGGATGAGTGAATAACCAACTACAAGAGAATATATAATGTTTAATTTCATTTATATAAAATAATTAGAATAGACAAATCAACAAAAACCAACTGGTTTCTGGGAGCTTCAGGGAGAGAAATGATTACTAATAGATACAGGATTTCTTTGGGCGGTGATAGAAACATGAAATTATCTGACTTTATAACATCTCACAGGTTGTTTTACAAGTCTGAATATACTTAAACTGTTCAACTATATTCCCTAAAAGGATTTATTTTGTGCTGTTAGATGTCGATGAAGTTATTCAAACCTTTAAATAAAAAGACGTAACTTTCGGTGTTCACATCTACTTTCATTTCTTTTCAGGGTTCCTCAGGGCAAATCTTGTGACAGTTTCATGTTTCTATCCAGTATATACTATCCTCTGTATAGTAGATAATTGATAGGTGAGAGCTAATCTCTGTGATGCAAACTGCCTGAGCTTACTTAAACTTCCTAGAATAAATGAGAATATCACTGTACATCATTATACTTGTGGTATAAAATGGTACGTTTAGGAATGGGGGTTAACCAAGTGGTCTATTTTGTTTTTTAGGATACACACCTGCTAAAGCTGCTTAAAACATTAGAAGGACATGCCTATGGTGTTTCTTACATTGCATGGAGCCCAGATGACAACTATCTTGTTGCTTGTGGCCCAGATGACTGCTCTGAGCTTTGGCTTTGGAATGTACAAGTGAGCGAGTTCTATCCTTGGTTTAAGTCCAAGTTTTTTGTTAAAACTTTATTCTTAGCCAGGTAGTGGTGGCACACACCTTAAATCCCAGCACTTGGGAGGCAGAGGCAAGTGGATCTCTGAGATGGAGACCAGCCTGGTCTACAGAGCAAATTCCAGGGCTACACAGAAATTTTTATCTCATAAAGGAAAAGAAAAAAGAACAACTTTATTTTCAGTTTATACAACAACCATTTAACCTAAATTACCGTATCATCTCTCTTACAAGTTATAGTGTTTCAAGTGTTAAGAATCCAGATGCTAAGATTTATAAATTTAATTTAACCTAGATAGCAAAGTTTATTAAAAAGATGGTCAGCAAGCATTTCCAGCATGTTTTTCCTTCTTCAATGGAATTTATACTGTTTAGAAAAAACTTTTAGCTGCTGTGTTTTCATCATTGTGTGTGGAGCTTATAACCTTTAAAGTTGTAAGATATCTGTGAAATAAAATTTCACATTTTGATGGGAAGTATTTCTTAACCTACATGTAGTAGTATCTGCTAGTTCAATGCGACTAAAGAGATACTTTTATTTATATTACCATTTCTAACTGAAGACTTAGACTTTATGATCCTGTCTTAGGTTTACTCCGTTTTCCATAGTACTACATCTAGTAGAAATATCATAGTAGTAATAATAGTAATAATAGGACTCCATCCAGTGATGGTGATGTCCCGAAGAGATACGTCAAGTGGCAGCATGGGTGGCATGAGCAGAGTGAATTCTAAGATGTACCTCAAGTGAAATACATAATCCTAATGCTATTTAAGATTTCCTTACTGCTCATTATTTCCCTTTTTACCCCAACTTGTTTGTTTGTTTGTTGTTTTTTCAAGACAGGGTTTCTCTGTGTAACAGCCCTAGCTGTCCTAGAACTCCTAGACCAGGCTAGCTTCTAACTCACAGAGATTTGCCTGCCTCTGCCTCCCGAGTGCTGGGACCAAAGACCTGTTCTACCATGCCGGACTTTACCCAAACTTTTGAAGAGAATTTTTAAATGTTAAAAATTTGTTAGGCTGAAGGGATAATTCAGTTGTAAAGAGCATGTACTGCTATTTCAGAAGACCAGAGTTTGGTTCTTCGCACCAGAATCAAGCACCATAAAATGCCTGTAACTCCAGCTCCAGGAAATAAAAATCTTTAAAAAAAAAAAAAAAAGTGAAGCCAGATACAGTGTCTGATCCTATAATCCATCATCCATTGTGAGGCTGAGGCAGGGAATACTGTTGTGAGGTTGAGGTCCAGATAACCTGTCTAGTAAGTGACCCAACTCAGGCAGCAGTTAAAAAAATGCTATCGCTGTATGTGATAGTGCATGTCTGTAATCCTGTTAATTTGGGAGAAAGACAGGGAGATCAGGGTTCAAAGTTATCTTCAGCAATGTACCAAGTTAGAGACCAGCATGTTTCCAAAACAGAGAAGGAATGGTACGGTGATCACATGTGTTCCCACTACCCTACACCTGATAGTTGTTACGTTGGTGATATTTTATGTGTACATATGTACATAAATTCAGACATAAATACTTAAACATCAGCTCCAATGTATTTGAAAGTAAATTATAGATAAGTTTAATCCTTAAATATTCACACAGGTATCCTCAACAAGAACATTATCCTTCATAGCATTATTATTTTATGTGTATAAGTGTTTTGTTTGCATGTGTGCATGTGTGTCACATGTGACTGGTGCCTGTGAGATAGGAGAAGGCATCAGATCCCCTGTATCTAGAGTTCATGATAGTCATGAATTACTGGGAGGGTGCTAGGAACCAAATCCTAGTCCTCTGGAAGAGCAACCAGTGCTCTTAACTGCTGAGCCATCTCTCCAGCCCCTATTATTTTTAAATATCTAACCTATATCTCATTTTGTTCAAAAAATGTCGTTTATGCTATTTGTATCAAGCTAGCAATTAACCATTATTGTATTTGTGACAGGGTTTAGGGAGATGGCAAAGCACAGAATAAAATAGGAATAAAACAGATTAAAGTGAGTCTGACCCAAAAGATTTTTTTTAATTAAAGTTTCTTTTTTTTTCTTCCAAAGGAGGCATGTATAGCCTTATTAGGGACACAATGACTAGCACTTATGTGGTCTTTACATGAGTCAGATTTTAATTTCTAAGCAGTTAAAACCATTTTTAGGCATAGCCGTTACTACAAACTACTTGATAAGTTAAGGCTTTTTCTAGAATGGTTGTCTTTTAAGAAGTCCAAAGGCTATTTCTGTTTTTAGCTAGGTTTCTAATCTAATGGCCTCATATACTCACTGTGCAGAATAGAAGGAAAACATTGCTGCCTCAGAACTTAGCTTGTTAACATTTGTTAAAAGCAAACACCCAAGCTTTGGCTGCTTTTGTACTTGCATTTAAACTTGTAGCTGTTCGGGTCAGGTGACTAAAATAGTAATTAAACAGCTGAGAATAGTGAAGAGTTTGGGGAAGGATTTAGATGTTGAATTGGGGGTTTTTTGTTGTTGCTGTTGTTCTGTTGTTTTTTTTTTGTTTTGTTTTGTTTTGTTTTGTTTTGTTGTTGTTGTTCCTCTCATGTAAGGGAGACTTTTCTATTTTGTGCCTCTTGTGCCTTTATTACTTGGCCCCAGGTTCCTAATCATACCCTTTGTTTTCACTCTTTTATTTTTACTTTTGATTACCCATTTCTCACAGGAAAATTATGCCCATGTACTTTTTATTATACCAAGGGCAGCTATTACCTCTCAGATCCTGTTTCTAATCCTTGAACAAAATGGAACAAGACTAGATTAAATGGTATGTGTAATGTCTCCTAAGTTGAATAACTTAGAACATGTAACAAGGAGGATGTCTGAGGTTTAAGCACTAAAAAAACTTGATTAGTTGGAAGTACTGTAGATTGCTATGCTAAACAGTACAGAGATTCTTTCTTTGTTCTGCTTGTAATTGAAACAACGTTACATATTGGAAAAAAAAGTCATTTTTTCCCATCTTCCTTGCTATGTTATGAACATTTGAATATGATATTTAGCATAATTAAAATTGCCCTTAGTGGGCTTTAAGACATAGTTTTACTATCTATTAATCATGTTCTTAAAGAATTGTTAATTGCATTAACTATAGTTTTAGGATAAAATTCATAAAGAATTTTGCACTGAGATGGAAACTGGGATTTAGGTTTGTAGATTTCCTCTTGATTGTGAAAAGTTACATGTTAGTTTATTAATATAATTCTTTTAAGATGAGAAATTTAATAAAATTAAAGCTTATTATATCTGAACTTTTAATTTTTCTTTTGAGTGCTATAGTCTTGTTTCTGGTGAGGCTAGTTACAGTAACTGTTTCTCGGATTAGGAATGGTGTGCAAGATACCCCAGGCACCTTCTGCCCTTCTGGCACCTTCTCCCTCGTGTCTCCTCCTTTCTTTCTCCTTCCCCTTTTTCCCCTCCCCTCCCCTCCCTTCCAATCTTTTTCTTTCTTTACATATACCCCTTAGAAATCTTGAACGTCTTATCCACAGTTTTATTTCCTTATAGACGGGAGAATTAAGAACAAAAATGAGCCAATCTCATGAAGACAGTTTGACCAGTGTAGCCTGGAATCCAGATGGGAAACGCTTTGTGACTGGAGGTCAGCGCGGGCAGTTCTATCAATGTGTAAGTATTCAGTGCCTCCTTGCCAGAGTATGCCTATTTAAAAGGAAATTGAGCTGTTTGTTTGTTGAATGATTTTTAAAATTTACACTCGCTGGGCATGGAAGGATAGGCATGCTTTAAATAACAGTACCTGAAAGGTAGAGTAGTTCTACAGAGTAAGATCTATCTCACAAATAATCAGATATCAAATAAATGAGGATGACTTGACACATACTATATGAAAACTACCATCCTCTTCAATGTGCATTTAATAGAATGCTAGGTACTTTTCTTCTGTCTTTTTAAAACCACTTCAGGTATTCATGAAAAGTGTAAAATTAGGTGGGCGTGGTAGCTATTATCCCAGCATTTGGGAGGCAGAGGCAGGTTGACATCTGAGTTCTAGGCCAGCCAGAGCTACATAGTGAGACCCTGTCTTAAAAAGACAGGTACTAATTTGTAGGACTGAAAAATTCAGCCATTTCTTTTGAGTACCCAGGTTTAGGCCTTTGTAAGGAAGACAGCACTAGCCAGGCGTGGTGGCTCATGCATAAAATCCCTGCACTTGGGAGGCTCAGGTGGTAAACTTACACAGAATTAAAAAGTAGCCTGGGCTGTAACTAGTTAGGTACCAGCCTGGAATATGAAATGAGACCCCTCTGTCTCCAGAAACAAGAACAATAAACAGTGCTATAGAGCAGAGGATGTAGCTCAGCTCACAGGACATGATGGCCCCAGTGTAATTCTAGCACTTGGGAGGTAGAGACAATAGAATCTTAAGTCAAGGTCCTACTTGGCTGCCTGGTCAGCCTGGGATATAGGAGACCCTGGGTGGAACAACAACAAATATGAGAATGCCGAATTTCATGGATATTTTGCTGAGTCAAAATAGCTATCTAATAAAAGTAATAAATGCTGTGGCTGAAGGGATGGCTCAGCAATTGATCATGCAGGGTCCAAGTTGGGTTCCCCATGACTTGAAACCACTTCTCACTGCTCTCACAGGATACAGTGCCCTCTTCTGGCTTCTGTAGGTAACTACACATGTGTACATGCCCTCGCACAGACACACATAACTTAAAAAAGTAAATCCTCTAAAAAAAAGTAATGGATGCTGACAGAATTTTTCAGTCATTTAAAGGGTCTTGTGGCCAATAACTGCTGTGTTGATTGAGATTTTGATGTTTTCAGTCCATGTTACCATGGAGCCCTGGCTGTCCTGGCACTCCCTATATAGAAAAGACTAACCCCAAACTGACAAAGGTCCTCCTGCATGTGCCTATGTATTGGGGGTACTAAAAGCACATACCCCCACACCTGGCGATTGTAAATTATTTGACTAAACTAATAAATTGTCCTCTGACATACAAATGTGTTCTTATGCTGTGTTCAGGTTCCTTACGTCACAAGTCACTGTCTCACATGGTTCTAGTAGGTGATTTCAGACTTGTTTTCCTCACTGCATCACTTCAGTCAGGTGTTTATTTAGATAAACCGTCTGTAGTTGACCTTTCTGGAATAAAACAATTTAATAGGCTATACAGCAGGCTTCATTTCTTCCGGGTAGGTCATTTAAAATATTTCCAGGGCAGCTCACTGGAAACCCAGTATCCCCTGGGTAGTTTTTGCAAGTTGCCACTTTGTAGTAAAATAAAGCTTATGAAATTCATTGTTGCTTACTCTAGCAGGTTATAAGTTATTAATTCTTAGTTCTCTTTTTTCATATCACAGCTTTGCATGTTTGAGAATAGTGTTTCCAGGCCTATAGTCAAACTCTAATTAGTTAAAATACTGGTAGGTTGGCTAGATCAGTTTCAGATAAAAAATAAAGCTGTTTTCATTAGGCATTGCCAAGCATTTACATTAGGTTTGTTTTCTGAGTGGTTGTTTTGTTTTGTTTCTCTGCTTAGGACCTGGATGGAAATCTTTTGGACTCCTGGGAGGGGGTGAGAGTGCAATGCCTATGGTGCTTGAGTGACGGGAAGACTGTATTGGCTTCTGACACACACCAGAGAATCCGGGGCTACAACTTTGAGGACCTTACAGATAGGAACATGTAATTATTATTTTGTTTCCAGTAGAAATGGTCTCATTTAGCAGGGTAAGGGGATGTGGACCCTTTAACCCAGCACTTGGGAGGCAGAGGCCTGCCAATCTTTGAGTTCAAGGCCAGTGTGGTCTACTAAAAGCATTCCAGGACAACTAGGGCTACACAGAGAAACTCTGTCTTGAAAACTTCCCTCCAAAAAAAGGAAATGGTGTAATTTATACCAAAATATGTATATAGTTGGGCTTTTCCAGAAAAGCAGTTTTGTTTTTTTGTTTTGGTTAGTGGTTTGAATTGGTGTTTGGGGGTATTTGTTAACTCATTCTGATGGACATATGTAAGACAAAAATGTCATTTAAGCTGTAATAGTTTAGCCCGGTGTTGGTGGCTGGCGCACGCCTTTAATCCCAGCACTTGGGAGGCAGAGACAAGTGGATCTCTGTGAGTTTGAGGCCAGCCTGGTCTACAGAGCGAGTTCCAGGACAGCCTCCAAAGCTACACAGAGAAACTCTGTCTCAAACAAAACAAAAAAGCTGTAATAGTGTATTGAATAATTTGAAGTTCTTGACTCTGCTGTTCCTGACAATTATTTCTGATTTCAGAGTACAAGAAGATCATCCTATTATGTCATTCACTATTTCAAAAAATGGCCGATTAGCTTTGTTAAATGTAGCAACTCAGGTATGTTGTTTTCTTTTTCTTTTTCTTTTCTTTTTTTTTTTTTACAACTTTCAGAAGAATTCAGCTTAGTGAAAACGTACTTTTGTTGTTTTTAGTCTAGCTGTTAAACATACGTGTTTAGTGCTCAACTATGTAGGAATCAACTATTAAGTTTACTGAAATACTAGCATTTTGCACAAATAGAAAATAAAAATGCTCCAGTGGACAAAGGAATATTCACAAATTACTGTTAAAGATTCTATTAAGACTGGGTGTGATAGCCCACACCTTTAATCCCAGCACTGCGGAGGCAGAAATGGCCATCTCTTAGTTTAAGAGCAGTTCCAAGCCATTGGTTCTCAACTTGTGGGTCAAGACCCCTTTGGGGATTGAATGATCTTTCACAGGGGTCACTTATTAGATATCCTGCATATCAGACATTTATATTATAATTCATAACAGTAGCAAAGTTACAGTTATGAGGTAGTAACAAAAATAACTTAATGGTGGGGGGGGTCACCACACTGTGAAGAACTGTATTAAAAGGTTGGAGCATTAAGAGGTAAAAACCCCTGGGCTAGATAGGTAGATGTCTTTTAAAAAATAAAACAAAAAAACTCCTAAGGTCGTACATGTCAGTACTCTAAAAAACTTGGGAGGGTAGTGCAGAGTGGTGAACACTTTTAATCCCAACACTCAGGAAACAGAGGCAGGCGCATCTCTCAGTCCGAGGCCAGTCTACTCTACAGACCAAGTTCTAGGACAGCCAGGGCTACACAGAGAAACCTTGTCTCCAAAATGAGAAAAGAAAAAGAACTTGGGTGGATTTATCAGTTCCAGTCTAGCATGGAACATACAGTGAAATTGTCTTTTTAAAAAAAGTCACACAGGGGAGGCAAAACCAACCCTATCTCAAAAGCAACAAAAACTTTTTTTTTCTCTTTTGTTTTTTGCCTGCAGGGAGTTCATTTATGGGACTTGCAAGACAGAGTTTTAGTAAGGAAATACCAAGGTGTTACACAAGGGTTTTATACAATTCATTCATGTTTTGGAGGCCATAATGAAGACTTCATCGCTAGTGGCAGTGAAGGTAAAGTGTTTTCTATCACTGTTGGTTCACCTAGAGAGGTGAATTCAAAGGTCTGTAATTCTCTTGTTGGGGTAGCTTGTTTCTCAGCAACCATAAAATAAGACATTAATTTTTTTTAGTAGATTCTATACTATATTCTTAATGTTACCTTTTGGTGAATGGCTTGAATCCTTGATGTTTTGGTTTTGATTGTGTGTTCATTTTCCTTTTTGTTATTGGTGATGAAACACAGGACCTCAAGCTGTTAGCGTTCTGTGGCTGAGCCCTTCTTACTGTTACAAATCAGTGGAACCTGTCCTAATCATGTTTTAGAATTGTGTTTGATGTTTGAATCAAATCAAAATTTACTTAAATCACTATATCTTTATATCACTTGTATTTTCTCAGGACTGATAGTTTTCAAAGGTTGGTAAAAGTCAGGCTTGTACATGCCTTTAATAAACTCTAGCATTTGGGAGGTGGAGGCAGAGACAAGTGGATTTCTGTGAGTTCAAGACCAGTCTGGTCTACATAGTGAGTTCCAGGACAGCAGAACTATGTAGACAGAACCTGTCTCCAAAAACCAAAAACTTGGGGCTAATAATTATGATTTTTTAACAGAATCTTTAGTTCTACTATGGAAAAAGAACTCAGGTTGATAATTTTTTAAAGATAGTATGTATGTCTAAGCACCACTTTTATCCCTGGTAGTTGTTGCGGTTTCAGAAAAGCTCAAATTAACATAGCTGTCCCTTCTACTAAACGTGGTTTGTAGATTAAAAACACCTGTATATTTAGATAACATGTGCTTAGTTTTCTGTTATCCCAAGTTATACAGAAACCAGCTGTATATAGCAGTTTCCCAAGATGACCACAGCAATCCTTTTATATTCATTTTCGAGTACTGTATTTCAGAAGCTCACCAAATACCCTAAGTATGTAAGTGCTAATGTAAGAACCATCTCCTTAGAAAGTTTTTAATCAGTAGTGAAGCTTTTTCATTATAGTGACAACGTATAGGAGAAATAGGAACTGGGGATATATGGCTCAGTTGGTATTGTGCTTGCCAGCACACACAGACCTGGGTTGAACCCCTCACACATAAACTGGATGGTGGCTCACACCTGTAATCGCAGCGCTATGTCTAGGCAGGAGGATCGGAAGTCCATCCTCTGCCGCTCGGTGAATCTGAGACTGGGCTACAGACTGTCTTTACGTAGGCAGTTGGTTGCCAGACTCTGGGGGACAGTAGATGTTTTTGTGACTTCAGAGCTAGTTACCTCGAGCAGAAAAAAAAAAAAAATTAATACAGTTTTTCACAAAATTAATTTATTAAATAATTTTATGTTTTCCTCCTTTCAAGTTATATTGAATAATCATGTTCTGTGTATAGTAAATGGTAATTGATGGTCAGTAATTTTGTTAGTAACATAGCTTTCTAACATTTCTCTGAATTTCTCTACATTTAGATCACAAGGTTTACATCTGGCACAAACGAAGTGAACTGCCAATTGCAGAACTGACAGGGCACACTCGCACAGTAAATTGTGTTAGCTGGAACCCACAGATTCCATCCATGATGGCCAGTGCCTCAGATGATGGCACTGTTAGAATATGGGGACCAGCACCTTTTATAGACCACCAGAATATTGAAGGTAAGGCTTGTATAGTCCTTGTTTTCTCTAGATAAAACATTGCTCTGAGTACCAGTACTTTTAAATAGCAATTTAAATGTGGAATGTGACTTTCTTTTTAATTTCACCTATCTTGCTATATAGAAAGAATTTAAGAAATCTAAGATTGTTTTATTTGTTTTTGGAGAGGTGATGAAGAAAGCAAGCTAGAATGTGCTGTCTTGTTTGCATCAAGTTACTTGTAGTAATAATTTAAAATTTGGGGGGTTCAGAGATGGGTGTGTGGTAAGCGCTTGCCCCATGAGCATGAGGACTTGAGTATAGTAGTGTGAGTGTAATCCTTTTGCTTTTATGAATATGGGAGGTGGACACATAGGAGGACCTCTAGAAGCTGTCAGGCCAGCTAGGAAGGCATGTGCAGCAGAGGGAAGATGTCATCTCAGTGGAAAGCACAGACTGACGACACCTAAGGTCGTCCTCTGACCCCACACATCTTGGCACCTGCAGGCATGCACTTGCATGCACATACACGGGTTTTATTAAAATGCTGCTTCCTCATGATATGTAAATGTGATATTACCCGAAACATTTACTTGAGAACTAATCGATGTGTAAAATTTTAGGGACTTTTGTTTTAATGATCATCATCTTGGGGTTTTCCTAGTATGTTAGCATTGTCTAGCATACTAACGTTAACTATGTCTGATGATGAGGGAAAGATAGGAACTGTGTGCCAAGTAGAGTGCTCAGAGTATATTTCCTCTCACTTGTGTTCATGATCTTGTGAGACATTTTATTTCCATTTTGTAGGGAAGGAACCAAAATATGGCAAATCTCGTTAACTTGTTGAATGCTGCCATTTCGGCCAGTCTAGGTCTGGAAAGTTTTCTCACTGCCTTGATACTTGAAGAAAGTCATAAAGCTAACAGATGAGGGATTGAATATAATAGTGCTAGAGAGAAGTAATAAGAAATTTTATGTAAATGTTTTTTCCTCAAAGAGAACAAGTAAAAATGTCTCACTTGGAAGGAAATAACTTACAGATCATTTTGTTCAGTATGTTCCACCTAAATGGTTGGTGTTTGCTTTGTGTTTCCCATGCGTGTGCCTGTGTTGCCCATGCTACCTGAGAACAGAGTGCATGCTGGGAACAGTGACAGTCCTCTGCCAGAGTAGCAAGTGCTTTTAACTGCTAATGCCATCTTTCTTCCATCCTCCCACCTAACGGATTTAGTATTTAAACAGAGATGAGGCCAATCAGTAGGCCTTTAATTAATCCTGGGACTCAAGAGGCAGAGGCAGGTGGATCTTTGAATTCAAAGCCAGCCTGGTCTACACAGCTAATTCAGGGCTACACAGAGAAACCCTGTCTCAAAAAAAAAAAAAAAAAGAATAAAACACAGAGATGAGAATAAAAAACCATGAGAACTACTGAGTAAAGTTGTGTGGGACTTTGGAGGCCCTTTTCTGTTGGTTCACTATCTGATATTCCTGGGAAGTCAACCAAGACAAGAAATCTTTACTATAATTGCCCTGTCTAGTTTCAAGGCCCATTTTCTAAGATATAATTGATCTTTGGAGATCTTCATCTTTAATCATCTGTACTTTGATATTTTCTCAGTCATTCAGAATGTGATTGAAGACATAGGAAAGGACCACAGCAGCTTCCGCTTCCTAAGAGTGCGGTGTTGCATCACAGTGGGATAAGAGTTGTACTTTGTACTTTGTGACTTTGGTTCATTGTGATTCACTTCAATGGGTGTGCCAAATACTGGGTCAGTTGCAAGATCAGGCCCAGTTCAGCAACAAGCATCATGCTACACCAATGTAGGTCTGACCCTAGACAGTCATTCTCATTTCAAATCACAACTGCTTTTTGAGAATATCCTTTGGAATCTTCCCACACATACAATGAAAACATTATTTTTCTAAGTAAATTGTAGCTGTTTAGAATAGGAATTTCAAAGTATGAGTGGGTTAAAGAGAACATTCAAAGACTGTAGCATAAGGTACTATACTTAACTCAAAACTTTATGTGTATGAAAGGTTTGTACATTATTGTGTGGGGAGGGTGGTGGTGTGTGTGCTATTTTGAAGTCGGTGTACAGCTTGCTGGAGTTGGTTTCCTTCCCCCATGTGGGTTCTATTGATTGAACTCAGGTCTTCAAGCTTAGCAGCAAATGCTTTTACCCATGATGCCATCTTGTTTGCCCAACAAGTTCTTAAAATGAATTTATCTTTATGTGTTATAGGTGTTTTGCCTAAATGCTTATCTGTACCACATGTGGGGGTGGGGGGCCACAAAGGCCAGAAGATTGGAGTTAGACACTGCTTTTAAAACTCACCATGTGTGTGCTGGGAATCCAGCCAGGGTCCTATGCAAGGACAGCCATTGTTTTTTTTTTGTTTTGTTTTATTTTGTAACTGCTGAGCCATTACTCTAGCTCCTGGCTTAACAATGTATCTTAAAGAGTTACAAGATTGACTACCTTACTTTCTGACTTTTGTTTACATGTTATAGGGGTATAAAATGGAATAGGATGAAGTATTTATACGTGATATATAAGATGCATGAACCTTGAAAACAGTGTGCTAAATGAAACATAATCAAAAACAAAACCATATAGACACATCATATGCTGTGATTGCATTTTGTATTGAAGTGGTCTAAAAATAGGCCAACCCACAGAGACCAGAGGAGTAGTTTGTTTGTTTGTTTGGGTTTTTTTATATAAGGATGTGTGTGACTGTTATAATTTGGTGAAGGACTAAAATGATATACTGATATTGTACAAGCTGCCAATATACTAAAATTATTAAATATTTTAAATTGGTGTATTTTTCTGGTATGTGAACTATATCGAATAAAGGTCATATATCCACCGCTCCCAAATGGAGCTGGGTGATAGGGTAGACCTGAGTGGATTGAGAACATAGAGTACATAGAGTGTGCAACTCTGCCTTGTGCTACCAGAGTTTTCTTTCCTTTTTTTTTTTTTTTCTTTAGTAAACTAGCAAAGATTTTCTTATTCTAATTATCTATTCCAAGGTTAGTTTTAAAAATAGGGAATTCTGTCAGGCATGGTTATGCATGCCTTTAATTCTAGCACTCTGGAGGCATAGTCAGGTAGGTCTCTGAGTTCAAGGCCAGCCAAAGCTTCACAGTGAGACCCTGACTCACTGCCCCTGCCCCAAAAGAAACATGTAATTAGGAAATTCTAACATAATTATTCATTCCTTTTCCTACATTATTCAAAAAATCATGAGGTTACATTATAAAATACAACCTAAAAACTGAGGGACATACATTGTTTAAGGACTATGAAAATACCAAGAATTTGTTATTGTTACTTATTCTGCTATTGTATCCTGATGCAGATTTGGAAACTTTCTAACTGGATCTTTTTTCCTTTTGTCTCCCTTTTCTCTCTGCACATTTCCATCTTCTCTTCATTCAGAGGAATGCAGTAGCATGGATAGTTGATGGCGAATTGGAGCAGACGACTTCTGTTTAACTTAAAATTAGTCGTATTTTAATGGCTTGGGATTTGGTGCAAACAAACATGATTGCTAGCTGGACAGACATGCTCGTCATGAAACAAGAACCATTTCTGAAGCCCGATTGGGGCCAAACATTTCCACCTTGCTTCATAGTAACCAGTCGATGAAGCACAGCGTCAGAATGTTGTTGGACACCCTGTTGAATTATTCCCCATCGGTTGTGGAGAACTGTGCTACATTCAGGCTTACCCATTGAACTCAGTATATATATTTTTCCCTCCTGCCTTTTGTCTGGTGGGATACCATTCTTGTTGCTCTTCTGTGTAATGAAGTTCAAATGCTTGTTTGGAAACTTTATTTAACAGTTTAGAAGGCTTGATAGGAAGAGTTCATTAGTCTGAAGAGTATACATTGGACAGGAAAGAATTTCTTTTTGTTTCTCCAAATCTTTCCGCCTTATTTAGCTTGAGATCTTTGCAGCTTGGTTCATGGATTCTAGCCTTGCCCGTTGCGCAGTATATACTGATCAGATGATAAACCAGTGAACTATGTCAAAAGCACTCTCAATATTACATTTGACAAAAAGTTTTGTACTTTTCACATAGCTTGTTGCCCCTTAAAAGGGTTAACAGCACAATTTTTTAATAATAAATTAAGAAGTATTTATAGGATTAAAGTGACTTCATTTGTATACATTTGGAATCTAAACCAGCTTAAAAACAGTTTCCTCTGTGACTCAGATATGCAGTGTAACTGAGCTCTTCTGGAGTACCACCTGAGACATGGCATGGTCAGAAACAGTGCTCAGAAGGACATGGCACAGGAAAGCCAGAGAGATACTTTGAAGGTTCCCCCTTTTTATTTTATTCTAGAAGGGACATCAGTATCTGATGTTGAAGAAATTCAAGATTCAAAAGGAGACTTTTATAAATACACCAACATGAAAAATCAGCCATCAGTGTAGGTTTTCAAGAAAGCTTGTTCCAGGTTCCTGTGGACTTGGTGTGACCTAGTAAAAGTAGAGATCAGAAGATAGGTCTGCTTTGGGAATTGATAGTGTAGTTGAGACTTAGGAGAACCCAGCAGGTTACAAACTGTAAACTGGGATTCAAACCGCAGTCATTTCTCCTAATAGCCAGCCCTTAATGCCCAACATATAGGGACACTGGAATTTAAAGAAGATTTCTTCTCAGCTTCTCAGATGTTGCCATACTGAACCTCATTCAAACTGGTGCTGTGGACAGTCTTTCCCCCTCTCCCCCCTTTTAGTTTAAAGGATGGTTTCCTTTATGGAAAAAAGACTTCTCATTTGAAGACTACTTCTAACATCTGATGTTGCGGATCTAACAGTCTCCCTTGAAATCCCCTGTTTTTCAGTAGAGGATAATCAGGGTGACCACAGCCTTTGAAACACAAGTGGATTACTCTCAAAGTAAGATCCTGGTGAAGAAAAAAAATCTTGTACCGAGTTAACCTTGAGGCCAATCCAAGTCCGTAGCATTCTCACCATGAGCATACCCTTCACCATGGCCCTAGGAAGAGAGAGGCTTGCATGTTAGGGTCATAAAGAGGGATGGCAGCAGAGAGGGGAAAGTCAGGAAAAGGGAGAAGAAGAAGAAAACACATTTGGCCTTAAAATTGTGTTTATTCTCCCAAAGCCCATACTAAGGAAATTACAGATCGTAGTCGACAATTATTTTATCAAATTGGTATGTAAAAGATTCCTTTAAGCTTCATTTTGCAGAGACCACCACTTTAGAAAAATCAGAGAAATCCTGTTTTGATACTTCTAAGTTAAAATATGTTACCGTTTATCTGGTACTTCATTTCTTGACTAAAATTACTTTTCACTTTAAGCTTGAATAAAAATTTTCATTCGTAACTGTATATAATTAAGTGGCAACTCCTCTTTACCTCAGTGCAGTTAGAACCGTATTTTGATTAATATGCCCTGAAGCCATTAATACATACACCCCAGTCTCTCCAGTAACAATCACTAACAAAATGTGGTCGCAGAACTCCACAGCTGTTTACAAATGTGATTACATTGTACTGTATGGTACATATGTAATGTTCCTTGAGATTCGTGCCCATTCAGGGTAGTATGACAATTCAGATTCCATTAGTATACCAAGCCACACCTACACCTGAGTTTTCACAGTGCTTCTGAAGTACAGTTAAAAACACTTAGGAGTAAAAAAATGGACTGAAAGTGAGGGTCATTTTACAAGACCATAACTCCTTGTTAAAGTGGAGTTACAACTATGCAAAGGTGTTCATAGCAGCTAGGTGAGTTTGTTTTCCGGCTGTTCTAACCAGCAGCTTCCTGTGTATACTGGTAATTTGCTGCGCCAATTGCTGTAAGCATCTGTTTCGTATATTTACAATGAAGAGAGTGCTAGAAAGGGGAAAAGACGGTGAAGAAACCTGGCTATTAAGAGGGAAGAACCTGGTGGCAGGATTTTTCTAACCCATAGCTATTAACTGAAAATTTCTGACAATATGATAAAACTACGTAAAGGCTTAAGAGGGAAAAGTCTGTCAAGCCAGCCACAAGATACTAACCAATGTATACACTGAAAAGTACCAATACTTTTTGCACATAGATCAAAATAGTGGAGAATTTTTGACTCCAAAAATCAGGTTAGTAGGCTCAATTCCGTGTGCTTAAAAATGTTTTTGTTGTTGTTAATGCATTGATTAAGGGCTAGAGCAAGAATGAAATTAAATGTCTTTTTCCTCTAAATAATACTGGTTATTAGTGGTAAAGTGTTGGATTTGGGCATCACTGAGGTTGGTGTGTGGGTGAAAAAGAATTAGAGTGGGGGTTAGTTGGGGGAGATGACAAAGCTTCGATTTGATTTTTGTATTTTAGTATTCATGCCAGCTGTATTTTGTTGCTGGCTAGATAAATGTATTCTAGTAATCCAGGTAAGTAGTTGAAAACAGGAAATTTTACTTGCAGATGTCTCCATATATTGGCCCATTTTATTGGGTGGGAAAACAAAAAAGGAATTCTCTGACTCTAGGTGATTAAAATAACCTGCTACACAAACCAAGAGCAATCTTGTCACCATTTCCTTAGTCAGAGAAAACACAGCAGTAATTCAGTAAGATTAGTGAGTAGGAGTACTCTGCCTCGACTGGCATTCTGTGACATTAATAGAAAATTCTTCTTTCCCACCCCTCCCCACCTTGAAACCTTCTTTTTTAGGACGTTGGTTCCTGCAAACAAGAACTCACCCTCTGCCTCCCAGTGGGTAAATGTATCGCACATCTCTTGAAAGGGAAAGGGAACATACCCATGTCACTTACTTTACAGCAGAAGAATGGGGAGGAAAGAAGATAATTGGTCTTAGTATCCTTTGTGTCCCATTTTTTAAAATATATTTTCACTTAGTAATTTTACTTTAATGTCTCCGACTTCAAATCTCCCTTCGTTTGCTGGCCAAAGCATTATCCCATTTCCAAACCCATACCTGACTTCACTTCAACTGCTAACTTAAAAGAGGTGAATTTGCATTTACACATAGACGCTTTCTAAAAACAGGGTGAACTTAATCTAAACTTGGCAGTGTTATTGTTACAGTAGCTGCCCTAGAATTTCAAAAACAAGCTGTCAGAACTCATCCCCTATCCAAGTAGCCTGGATTTAATGAAGTTAATCGTATAAAATTTTGTGTTTTGAGAAAGACCTTGATTCATAAAATATCCTAGAAACAACTTCTAGGTTGTCATTTTTACTAGAGTCTTGTGCACATGTAAAGTGCCCTCTCTTGAGTGTAAGACTTGGTTAATACTTGTCTATTTTTATAAGAATGAAATTGTGTCCCACCTTTGATTTAGACAGGATCAGTATGCTAGAATTAAATCATAACATTTTTTAGACTCAGCGGGGAAATGTTACTGGCCCCTTGAAAGTGAGCGAGAAAGTCTTTTTTTGTTTTTTGTGGTTTTTTGTGTGTGTGTGTGTGTGTGTGTGTGTGTGTGTGTGTGTTGAGGGGAGTAGATCGCAAAAGCATGTGTGTGCTTACAAACCAAGCTGTAGAGATCACATAACTTGGGTGTTGCTCTGGAGATTTCTGAGCTGTAGAGAGTGATAAGGCACTGTAGCTCACACGCTGTTGGTGTGGAGTAACAGTTAACTCTGAACTGGTAGATGTTTCCAGAGGATCGTGTTCTTAAACTTTGGGGTTTGCTTTTTTAACTGCCTCTCAGATTATATCTAGTAGTTTAAATTTCTTTGTTTTATTATTTCATTAAAGTATAAAAACTTCAGGTCTCATATTTATTTTCACTTGTTCTACTAATTATTTACAAGACACCTTTTGGTTGACATTTATTTTATAAATGTGTGGTATATTAAATGTCGTTAATTTTTTTTGTTTGAAATTACAGTAACTTGGATTTGCTTTACTGGGATTTTTAAATTTTATTTTAATTACACCTTTTCCATGTCAGTGCACAGCACTTGCCCAGTCCTTTGTATTCCCTTATCTCAATTCAATAAACAGAACGAGTAATTAATTCTTGTTGTATTACATCTCAAACAACTAGTTTGCTGAACTGGTGGCCATATCTTGATGTAGGGTTTGTGAATGGAGTCTAAGGAAACAGTTCTCGGTGTTCTTGCAGGAGGTCATTGTGCAGCCAGTCATGGATAAAGTTAAATTCCAAGCCTGTACCTAATAGCAGTGCATGTGGGACTCAACTTGGGTAGGGGAAGGTTAAGATTTCAGATTTCCAAAACAATTTCAGATCTCATTAGAGGGAAAAACCATTAAGATGGCTCAGCAGATAAACGTGGTTGTTGCCAAGCCTAATGACCTGGACCTACATGAAGAGAGAACCAACTCCTGCAACAACATGCCTCCCCCAAAGAAATAATAGTAAAATTGAAAGGAGAAAATGTGTTTGTGTGTGTGCGTGCACACGCACTCACAAGTTCATCCTCACTCTGAAGTTGGAGAAAGCCTGGAATCCCTGGAGATGGAGCTAAAGGAATGGGAAGCCCCAGACACTGACACTAGGACTCAGCAGGCGCTCTTAACTGCTGAGCCATCCTTCCAGTCCCAGAGAACTTAATTACAAGGTGTCCGCCTGCCACCAATCCATTGATTGGTGTTTGACCATCACAAGACCAAGCTGTATTACACCCCAGTGGTGACACCACAAATTAGAAGCAGGAGCAAGAGTTTGAGGGACTGAGTGGTACTGATATGCCAATACACTCAGTGCAGTGTATTCCAGACCTAAAACAAGCCACTTGATAATACAAGTACAGTAGATTTATGAGGCAAATGGTAATTCCCAGCTTATATACTTCTAAGCTAATGTTTGTAGTCATACCATAGTCTTCCCTTAGTCCTTAGGTGGCCACTTAGAAAAATCAAAATTTGTTAGTGTCATTAAAATTAAATGACACTTGAGATTTCAGGAGGTATCTATATAAATACGAGTTTTCTAGAGTCTTCAGGCAATTTACTTAGTATGTCAAGGCCAGGCCACTCATCTGTGAAAAGCAACTAATAATATCCTACCAGACGTTGAACAAAATGCAGAGTGATATAAAGCTTAACAAGACTGGGCAGTGGTGGCTCAAAACTTTAATCTCGGCTCTCAGGAAGCAGAGGCAGGCCAGCCTAGCCTGGTCTACAGAATGAGTTCTAGGACAGCAAAAGCTACACGGAAAAAAGGGGGATAAAGCAGAATTCAAGGCCATCCTTGAATTCAAATTCCAGCACTGGAGAGATGGCTCAGAGGTTAAGAGAGCACTGGCTGTTCTTCCAGAGGACCCAGGTTCAATTCTCAGCATCCACATGGCAGCTCATAACCATTTCTTAACTCCAGTCCCTCTTCTGACTACTGCAGTGAAATAAAAGCTTTATAGACATTGCCCAAATGTATAGACTTTGTTTAGATCACTATGTTCACACACCAACTGCAGAGCTTCTGAGCCCTGGGGAAGTTTGAGCCAGCCCTCATAGGTCATTTAATACAAAGAAATGGCAGAATCTAACTAGTTGTACTCAGGAGGGAGTGGTGGGAGGTTTGTGTATTTGAACCTGGCCTAAGCTACATAGCAAGACCCCTTCTCCCCCCCCCCAAAAGTGATAGTTATGTAGAGGGTTGGCATATCTGTGTGCTTTAAGATTCTAAACCTTAACATATGTGATGTTGAACTTGCTTCAAAGCATAGGAGACAGGTTATCGGTACAATGTGTTGATTATTACAGCTGGTAGAAAACGCCAGCTAAACGCTCTATAGGCTATCTATAGAGGCTGGAGATGGGGCTCAGTGATTTAAGCACCTGCCTCACATCTGTGAAGCCAAAGCCAATCTCAGTTTCCAGCACTAAGAGAAACTTCTGAGTAGAGCAATGGCTCAGCAGATAAAAAAGCACTGAGTTCAATCCTCAGAACTCACATGAGCTGGATATGGGGATGGAGATGTGTCATCTTTGCCGGCCTGGGGAGCAGAGAAATCACCCAGAAGGTAGCAGGCCAGCCATCCTGGAGAACGCTGGGCAACGGCAGAGATGAGAACAAGATGGAAGGTGATAACTGAATCCACATCTCAGTGGATCTTGCCCCAGAAAACTTTTAATTCTCAAAGTCGATAGAGATTTGCTACTTGCCTTCTCCCACGGGTCTCTGCCTTCGGCAAACATAGCAGCTAATGTATTGCCCTCAAATAAGGTTCAACTCTGCCCATTCGCCCTGCAATGAGCAGGTCCAGATGTCAAGGTCTACAGAGTAACTTCCCACAGTTGCATCCATGATCTCTTCCCTTGAGAAGATGAGTTTGAAGCAAGCTTTGGGAATGGACAGAACTCCTTTTTAAAGAGCCAGCCAAGGGAGAAGTGGATCCAGGATGAGGCCAAGTCCCTTAAGTTGGCCTCACAGATCCTCGGGAGTGAGCTGTGAGGAAGAGATGTCAGGAGAACCATGGAACAGTAACTCAGTCTTACTATACTACTACTACGTTACACCACCAGGGCTGGGCTACCGCCAGTGGTAGAATCCTTGCCTTACGGGCAAGGCCTGGGTTCATTCCCTACCACTGCAAAAACAAAGATTTGACCACAACCTTCCAATCTGACATATAGGGATTCTTTTAGAAAATGGGAACTTAGCATATTTAAGGTTTTTGTGTTTTCAGTTTGGGGTATTTGAGACGTGCCTGGCAGTATAACTCAAGCAGGCCTTGAAGCAGTGCTACCTCAGCCTCCACCGCTGGCTTTCAGGCCAACACACACACATTTTGGCCAGGTTCTAATGTTTAGTGGAAACTGACAGATATAAAAATGGCACTTTAGCCGGGCGTTGGTGGCGCACGCCTTTAATCCCAGCACTCGGGAGGCTGAAGCAGGCAGATCTCTGTGAGTTCGAGGCCAGCCTGGTCTCCAGAGCCAGTGCCAGGATAGGCTCCAAAGCTACACAGAGAAACCCTGTCTCGAAAAACAAAACAAAACAAAAAATGGCACTTTAAGGGATGTAGCAGAGCAGAGTGGCAACAGGAAGCCACAGTCAAACCTCTGTGCTTCAGCAAGTTGCTTATGCTCACACACCCTCCTCCCCACCCAGCCTCAGGGGAGCAACCGAAAAGTTAGCTGTCTTTCCAAACTGCAAAGACCTTTCTAAAGAGCAACATGAGTGTAGTACCAAGTAGGTGCTGTGGTAACCCCAGTTGAGGCTTTGAATGAGACGTTAGCAAAAGCTAGCCTTCTGCCTTTTTAAAGACATTTGAGAAAAGTGGCCCAAATCCAAAGGCTTCACTGAAAATCCTCAAGAATAGCTATTTTTTGAATAGCCTTGCTAACCAATTTTACTACATCAAAATATTTCAATCTATTATAGTACATGGCAAAACAGTATGTTTGGTTTAAAGGATAAAACTTGGGATAACCAAGTTCTAGACCAGCCCAGGACACAGGAGATCCTGTCTTTAAAAATAAATAAATAGGCTAGAGATGGCTGCAGTTAAGAGCACTGGCTATTCTTCCAGAAGAAATGGGTTTGATTTTCAGTACTCGTTATCTAACAACCATATGTAACTCCAGCCCCAGGAGATCTGATGTCCTCTTTGGGCTTCTAGGAGCACTGCACACATGTAGTGCACAGACATGCAAGTCAAACACTATATACAAATAAAAAACCTTAAAATCAGCCAAGTGGTGGTGCACACTTTTAATCCCAGCACTTGGGAGGCAGAGATAGGTGGATCTATGTGTCAGACTGGTCTCCAGAGGGAGTGCCAGGACAGGCTACAAAGCTACACAGAGAAACCCTGTCTCGAAAAACCAAAACGACAATTGCTGAACCTAAATGGTAAACAATTTCAAATTCTCGCCTTCTGTGGTACTGGAGATGGAACCAATAGCCTTGCTCTGCCAGAAAATTGCACTAATACTGAGCCATACCCCAATTCAGCCTATTTCTGTTATCATCATTGTATTATTTTTTTCAAGATTAGATTTCTGGCTGTTCTGGAACTGGCCCTGTAGACCAGCCTGGCCTCAAACTCAAGAGATCTGCCTGACTCTGTCTCCAAAGTGATGGGATTAAAGGCTTGAACTACCACTGCCTGGCTTCTTCAGCATTATTAAAACAAGTTTATCTAGATATCAGAATTACACCTAGTATGTGATAATCCATTAAATTCTGATAAAATGTTACTTGTAAGCAAAATTAATTTCAGCAGGCTCAGAAGAGCTTACAATACTTGTAGTGTTCGCTACATCATTGGGCTGGTCGTTAAGGGCGCTGGCTGCTCTTTGGGAAAACCCAGTGCGATTCCCAGCAGCCATAGGCAGCTCACAACTGTAACTCCAGTTGCAGGGGGTGAGGCCCAGATTCCCAGCAGCCATAGGCAGCTCACAACTGTAACTCCAGTTGCAGGGGATGATACCCTCACACAGACATGCATACAAACAAAACAATCAATACACTTAAATTTGTTGTTGTTGTTTTTGTGAGACAGGGTTTCTCTGTGTAGTTTTGGAGCTTCTCTTGGCACTCGCTCTGTAGGCCAGGCTGGCCTCGAACTCATGGAGATCTGCCTGCCTCTGTCTGCCGAGTGCTGAAAATAAAAATATTTTTAAAAAGAATACTTTAAAAAAGAGAGTGGTGAGCTTTGATTCTGTTGTTCCATGACTGCTTCTCTGAATTGAAGGACATCGGTCAGACTCCTTGATGAAAGAGCAATGGAACAACACAATCATATCAGCTTGTTATTCAACAGCCATTTATTGTTTGTGTGTGCAAGGCACTGTATTAGGCTCCAGGAGAGAAAGGAAGACAATACAGTCATGATCAGAGTGGAATCTGCTCTCCAGGAGCGCACAATCTAGGAAGAGACCAGCTGCATATGAAAGTGGTGATAGCTCCCACAGGGGACCATGTCAGAGGGAAGCCCCGGGTTACCTGTTACATCCTCCCCTGTGTAGCAAGCATGAAAAGAGTGGGGCTGAATCTTGGGTCTCACTTCCTCAGCTCTGGATGGGTATCAGCTATCTACAGCTATTATTAAAAGCCTAAAAGGAAAAGGGGCTATGACCCACCATGGAAGCGCCCAATGGTATAGTCTCCACTGGCCAGCCTTTACGGAGGGCACGGGGGACACTGAACTAACTGGACTACAGATGTTCACACTTTTGAGACCTCTGACAGACCTTTGAGGCCTGTCTCCATCTTTTGAGATGAAAATGCAAGAACAGATGACCTTGAAGGAGCCTGCATTGCTCTGGTCACTGTACAGAAGCGCTGTGGCACAACCACAGCCACTCATGCTTGTTTTCTCCTTTCAGCATTTATAGAAGCATCCCCCCTCCCTCCAAAAAGTCCAGAGGAATGACTCCTCTAACCCCTTTCCTGGCTTTGATAAACACAAGCAATGAGAAAGAAAAGGGTTTTGTTTGTAACTGGTTAGCATTTCAGAATGAAGTTTGGTTGTTAAAGACTAGGCAGCATTCTCATTTACTCGGCCTCAGCTGCTTGTGCCTGATGGACACGTGACAGGTGCTGAGCTGCACTGGGTCTGGGTTAAGAACGCTTGGAGAGGATGGAACATTTTAGTCCGAGTCCTCCACCACCTTGGAGCCACTTCAGTGTCATCGCTTGTTTCAGTTCTGTGAATCCTCCATCAGGTCTGCTTGAAAAGCCTGAGTAACTGAGGTAATGGAAGCTGGGGCGGGGTGTTAAACAGGTGTCCCAAAGAGAAAAGGAATGAAAAGATGAAAACAAAGTCACTCCTCTGTTACAGCTTCTTAGCCCTTTCCCAGGCAAAAAAAAACCCCACAAGATTATGGTTGTGATTTCAGAGTCCCAGGGAACTGAGTTTACTTTGCATGCCATCCCAAATCCTTTTTTCCTGTGTGGACAGAACTACTCCCATAGCTTCCCTGCTCTCTGGCTTCTACCAATTCTCATCCAACAAGACATGCAGCGTTTAAACATTTAATCTTCTGGGGAACCACATACTGTTTTGCCACCAAGGTCCAGCATGCCAAAGTGAACAGTCATGTTTTCTTCAATATCAGTGTTTAAGATACCAACATTAAAATGCAAATAGGACCAAGGAAGAATTGCCAGATTCACACTGCACTGCAAGTTGTGATGAACAGACTGGGGGGCTCACGGCCCTCCCTCATCTAGAGCAAGAGTTTAAAGAGTGCTTAGGTATTGCCATGTGCATGCAATGGCTTGTGTTGGGTTTTCCAATCCACAAAGTGATCAGTGAAATTAATTCTGCACCAAGTGAGTATTCACAGGCTGTTTCACTAACAATGACTGACTCATTTCCTGATTCTGAGTGTCTTCTACCAAGTCTCCTCTCCAAATCCATTAAAGCATATTACTAAAGAGATCAAATAGAAATGGAACAATTATGATGCAAAAATAAGTCCTGGCAAGAGCAAAGCTGAGTGTGTGTGTGTGTGTGTGTGTGTGTGTACATGTACAAGTATGGGGGGTGGAATTATGGAGATACAAGCTTTAAAATGAAAGCTCTTGATAAAATATTGACTTTAAAATTTATTTTTCCTTTCTGTAGGCAGGAATTACATTGTACCTGGGCACATGGCTTGTAAGGTTTCAAATACTGCAAAGAAAGAAATACATTTTAAAATGTCATTTTCTGTTGAAAGACTTAGCTGAAAAGTCCCTCAAATCCTTAAGCCACATTAACATTAAGTTGCCACAATAGATGGCAAGAGGGATAATTAACTTTCTTCTTTTGTCCAGATTAGCTGTATTGCTCTCTGCTCTGGCTTTTCAGACTTCATGTCAGCCCCGCTCATCTAGTAAGGGCTCTCCTAGGTGTGCCCTTTATTTCTGTGGCATACAAAGCCAGCACACATTCCTGCCTTTGCCAAAAAGCCACAGAGGACACAAAACACCTTCATATGCTGGGGTTGAGAATCAGAAATCTACAAAAACTCAATTCATTTTTTTAAATACTTTATGTGGTAAAAATACAGCAAAAATAGTTTTTTGTTCAAAGACCAAAATAGATACTGCTATGGTCACGGTTTTAAGGGTGGTTTAAGTAGTCTCTGGCTCCTCAATTGTGCAGTGTAGTGTAGGTTGGCTTCAACCCCGGCTTCTCCAGCTTCAGTCATTTATTAAAGCTAGAATCATACTGTGGAAAGAAGAAAGTGGAATTACTAATGTTCCCTTTGGACTCTCCTGGAATCTGGTCCATTCAGACCTGCATCCCCATATTCATCAAGAAATACCCACTGCAGTCACTTAAACCTAACAGAATACACAGATAAAAGCCTCTATTGTTTTCACTAACACAATCAACAAATGAAGATGAGAGGGAGAGAGTAAAATCTAAAACCAACTTGGTGCTGTAATTAAAAGTAACTAGAGGCTAGAGAGATGGCTCAGCAGTTAAGAACACTTACTGCTCTCCAGAGGACCCATGTCAAGTGGCTCACAACAGCTACTTCTAACTTCAGTTCCAGGGGACCCAATGCCTCTGGCCTCCAAGGGCAACAGAACTCACATGCACATATCCACATATATGAGCACTCACACTAAAAATAACTATAAACATTTTAAAAATAAAATATGGCCGGGTATAAGCCTTTAATCCCAGCACTCAAGAGGCAGAGGCAGTTAGAGGCCAGCCTGCTCTGCAGAGCAAGTTTCAGGAAAGCCAGAGCTACACAGAGACCCTGTTTCAAAGGAAACAAAAAACAAAAACAAAACCAAACCCAATAAAATAAATAAATAAAAGCCATGCCCAGGCAAAAAGCAACAACAAAAAACACACACAGTAATTCCCTATCCAGATCTCTGCCTTGTGCTGTATCCTAGCATTCTGCTACTAACCCACTAATTCCTACTCACAACTAGCCTCTGAAGCACTTCCTTGGGGGAGCTGTCCTTAGCTCAATGCAGATGTAAGGTCTCCTCCCACAGCCCATCATGCTGCTGTACAGCTGGCAAGCTGGTCTTTGTCAGTGAGCCGTGAGGACAGCCCCTCTTCCACTCTGTACTCTACTCCAGACTGCAACTGGCGAGCCACATGCCTTCACCACTGGGCTGTGCTGCTCCTTCTCATCACTCAAGGTGACATCAGGACAGGAAATACTCAAGAAAATCACCTCAGTTACAATGAAATATAATCCTTTCCTTCAATGGCAGGGACCAACCTTGCTCAAGATCAACAGAGCAAATTTACTGTAATGCACAGAAGTAACCTCGGTGTTACTAACAAATAGTCATACTAAACTTACTCAGTGTGCAGATCAAAGGTAGTCGCTAGGATTTTGAAAAGATTTTTGAGTTTACTCTACATAATAAATTTAAGCACTTTACCTGCACTTAGTTCATACTGCAATCCATTAGGTAGGTGTTAGTAACAACCCATTTCAGATGAAAACCCAAGGGGCACAGAGGTTAAGAAGCACATCCCAAATCTCACTCTAAGTAGTAGAGCCTAGGTAGCACCTTGACCTACATACAAGCCAAAAGCATGGGCTCCACCATTCTCTAAACATGGGAACATTTTTTCCAAAACATTAATTCCATTTAACAATCCCTGAATGCCTGCTACTGAAGCAGATGTGAGAGAAGCATAAAACCCCTGAAATAAAAGTTGATAATTTGGTAATAAAATCACTTTTAAACAAAAGCATCCATTCCAACACTTTCAACTATGAATGACATTCAGAGGTAAAGCTAAAAATGACAAGCCTTTAAGCTAACAAAGGAAAAGGAAGGGCAGAAAAGAGGAGGGCATTCCTAAAGGGGTACAACACACTGACAAAATAGTTACACAGGCTGCCCATCTTACCCAGCTGTAAAGAACCACACCTTAAGTCAGGCGGTGGGGGCGCTCGCCTTTAGTCCCAGCACTCGGGAGGCAGAGGCAGGGGGGTCTCTGTGGCTTTGAGACCAGCCTAGTCCTCAAGAGCTAGTTCCAGGACAGCCTCCAAAGCTATAGAGAAACCCTTTCTCAAAAAAACAAAACAAAAACAAAAAACAAAAAAAAAAAACAAAAAAAACCTGCCCCTAAAATGCTACTCCAACTTTTTTGTTTTCTTATTTATTTGTTTGTGTTTTTTTTGTTTGCTTTTTTCTTTTGGGTTTTTCAAGACAGGGTTTCTCTGTAACAGCCCTGGCTGTTATTAAAGTGCTGGGATTAAAGCATGTGCTGCCACTGCCTAGCTTATTTCTCTTTTCAATACAGGGTTTTCTCTGTGTAACAGCCCTGGCTGTTCTGGAACTTGCTGTGTAGACCAGGCTGGCCTTGAATTCAGAGACTCATCTTCCTCTGGTTCCTGAATGCTCTGCTAGGATTAAAGGCATGCATCACCACTGTCCAGCTCTTGTTTTCTTGTTTTTGAGACAGGATCTTGCTGTAACTTTGGGAACCATGGAACTTAATAAGTAGTCTTTAATGGTCTTGAATTTGTGATTCTCTTGTCTCAAGTGCTGGGATTACAGATGTGCAACACTATTGCTGGCTAAAATGATTTTTAAAAACCAGTGTGTTGGGGCTGGAGACATAGACTCCTTGCTCTTGCAAAGGACCCAGTTTCGTTCCCAGCACCTGTATGGCAGCTCGTAACTGTAACTCAGGTTCTAGGGTATCTGAAGCTGCCTTCTGGGCTCCAGAGACACCAGGCACAAATGTAGTCAAGCATAAATGCAGGCAAAACACCATATATATAAAACTACAATCACTGAAAATCAAAACCAAACCATCATCTTCCCAGGAGTGGTGGTTCACACCTAGAATACTAGCACTAGAGAGACTGAGACAAGAGAACTGTTGTAAGTTCCAGGCCTGATCAGACTACATAGTGAATTCCAGGACAGCCAGGGCTACATAGCAAGACCCGGTCTTAAAACAAAACAAACAAAGTCTATAAACAAACACTTTAAAAATTTTTTGATGTATGAGTCTTTTTGTCTGCATCTACGTCTGTGTATCGTGCACATGCCTAGTACCCAGAGGTGAAACGAGGGCATCAAACCCCTGGAACTGAAGCTAAAGATGGAAATGAGCCACCATGAGGGTGAGGGGACTTGAGCCTGTGTCCTCTGGAAGAGCCAATGAATGCTCTTAACCACTGAGTCATCTCTCCAACTCCCTTTTTCTTTTATTTCTTCTCTTCCTTATTTTTGAGACAGGGCTTACTACTATGTTGTCCTGGCTGGCCTGAACTCGATCTGTAGGCCAACTCAGAAATCTATCTGCCTTTGCCATATGAGTGCTAAAATGAAAAGCATATAATACTATGGCTGGCAGAACAAGAGTTTCTAATCTCTATATATTTGTATTTTCTTTTAGCTTTGTGAAATGGGACAGTGAAAACTCTCAGCTAGATTTAAGTCTGAAAATGAATAGCAATGGCAGTTTTAGAGCATGTTAATAGCCTCAACAGCTAAGGAATAACTTAGGAATTACAGAAAACTCTATTATAGGTTAGACAGAACACTAACTAATGACATATGTAAAAAAAAATCTACACCGACACAATAAATTCATGTAACTACCCAAAGTCTTACAATGCCAATACAAAATCCTACAGTACAATAATACCTCATAAACCCAACCAAAGCAGGCACAGCATCCAGTATGCTGTAAAGGGACCTCTAAACTTACCTATAGAGATACATGAAGAAACAGAGCAGGTAGAAACCAAGCTTGATCATGGCTTCTTTCATGTGTGACTTTAACTGTCCCCGATTGTGTATTTCTGTTGGATCAAACACTCCCATGTTACCACTTGGCACCATAATGAACCTGATAAAAGAAACTTACATTAGAAGGGGATCAAATCTTACAATGAATACTGAAAAACCGTACTCAACCTACAAATGTGGACCAGTCCTTGCAGCCTCAAATTCAGACAAAATAGAGCAGTATGATGACATCTTGGGCTCCATCTGGTTTTCCTTTGGAAGCTACTGCTAACTTTTCATTAATTTTCTACCCACTAAAACAAATGTAGTAGTAATACCTACAACCTTTAACACGTCTTCTGTTTCTCTTTAGCTCTTTCTCATTAGATACAAGTTAAAGAGGTTCCAAATCCATGCTAATGGCATAAAGTTCTCAGAAATGTCTTAGGTCTTTTTGTGTTTGTGTGTGGTGTTTGTGTATGTATGCTGTGTGTGTGTGTGTGTGTGTGTGTGTGTGTGTGTGTGTGTGTTCCAAATCCAAGCTAATGGTATAAAGTTCTCAGAAACGTCTTAGGTCTTGTGTGTGTGTGTGTGTGTGTGTGTGTGTGTGTGTGTGTGTGTGTGCGCGCGTGCGCGCGCGCACACAGGCCATAGGTTGACATCAGGTGTTTTCTTCAATTACTCTCTACTTTCTATATTGAAGTAGGGTTTCTTTTTCTTTTTTTCTTTTAATTTATTTTATGTGCACTGGTGTGAAGGTGTCAGATCCCCTGGAACTGGAGTTATAGACAGTTGTGTGCTGCCATGTGGGTTCTGAGAATTGAACCTGGGTCTTCTGGAAGAGTAGCCAGTGCTTTTAACTGCTGAGCCATCTCTCCAGCACCACAGTAGGGTGTCTTGCCTGAACTCAGAACTGCCTAATTCAGTAGTTTAGATAGACAGCTTGCTCCAGGGATCACCTGCCTCCACTTGAGAGTCAGGATTAGAGGCAGGCCCAGGCCAACATGCTCACCTGGTATTCATTTGAGTGCTGGGACCTGAATTGCAGTCAGTAGTCATGCTTGCACTTTGACCACTGAGTCATCTTCTTAGCCCCTTTTCTTGGTATCTGATTCAGGGCCCCACCCTGTAGCTCAATCTGGCCTCTAACTCACTACATAGACCAGCCTAGCTTCAAACTTCAGAGTCATCCTTTCCCAGTTTCTTGATGCTGAGACTCCAGGTTATGTATCACCATGCCTGGCTCTCAGAAACTTGCTTACGTAAACTGAGAAGGAAAACGAGGCTTCACCATCGAGACTGTGCCATCTGTGTAACATACATGTCTGAACCCAGCACCATAACTAGCCTCCTCCTGCATGCATGTCCAGGCTTCTTGATTGCCTCACTCTTGCCACATAAAGTTTCTCAATGTCATTTCTGTGAAATTTAAAAGCCTTTCCGAGCTTCACGAGTCTTAAACTCTCCCATAAACCCTACTAGCCTATCCATACCTGAATAGAGGGTATTTAATATCTAAATAATACCTCCACATAGTCTAAAAAGATTACAGCTCAGAATTATTCTGCTACCTAAGTTCCTTGGTGACACTTAAGGCTTTCTTCTTCCCCAATCCTGTCTCACTCATCTTGCACAGCCAACCCACTGAATTCCTGTCATTTGTTCTTCCTACTACCCTTTATAAACTGTCTCTCTCTCATCCCCACTAGTACAACCCTGCTCCAACAATATAATCTCTTTTTCATTCTCTGAACTGAATTCTCAATATCCTGGCCCTTCTCTATTCAACACTAGTGAATACTTCTCTATTCAATACATGCTGCTTATGCAAACATCTCCCCAAAGTTCCTTAAAAACATAAAATGTGGGCTGAAGATGTGACTAATTGGAACAGCTTTTCCCCATTATACGCAAAACCCTGAGTTTAGCTGGTTGTGGTGGGCACACCTTTAATCCCAGATTGGGGAGAGAAAAAAAAAAAGGAATTGAGTGCTTTGAGTGCATATACAAGTACAAATAAATGCTAACATACTAAAAGGCCAGTCAGAAAAGACAATGCACTCATCTGTATATACGTCTTTCCAGAATCTGTAAATGTAGAGATAGAGCAGATAGGGCTGTGGATAGAATTCAGTTGGTAGAGTGTTTGCTCAGCATGTACAAAGCACTGGGTTTGGTTCCCAGTAAAGCATAAAGTGAGCATGCTAGTGCATGCCTGTTATCTCAGCACTTGGGAGGTAGAGAGATTCAAGGACATCCCTCTTCTTCTGTGCTGGCTATTTTTACATCAGCATGTCTTAGTTAGGATTGCTATTGCTGTGCTGAAACACCACAACCAACAGTAACTTGGGGAGGAAAGGGTTTATTTGACTTATATTTCCACATCACAGTTCATCAATGAAGGAAGTCAGGGAAGGAACTCAAGCTGGGCAGGAACCTGGAGGTAGAAGCTGAAGCAGAGGCCATGGAGGGGTGCTGCTTACTGGCTTGCTCACCCCCCCCCCCCCTCCCCCCCCCCCCTCTCTCTCTCTCTCTCTCTCTCTTGGTTTTCCAAGGCAAGTTTTTTCTATAATAGTCTTGGCTGTCCTAGAACTCGCTCTGTAGACAAGGCTGGCCTGGAACTCACAGAGATCTGCCTGCCTCTGCCTACTGAGATTAAAGGTGTGTGCCACCACCACCCAGCTCAGCTTTCCTGCTTAGAGAATTCAGGACCACCACCAGTCCAGGGGTGTACCCCCTTCAATGGACCCTCCCCAATCAATCACTAATTAAGAAAATGTCCTACAGGCTTGCCTGCCTACAGTCTGATCTTATGGAGACTTTTCCCCCCACCTCTGAGACAGAGTTTCTCTGTGAAGTCCTAAATGTCCTAGAACTAGCTCTGTAGACCAGGCTGGCATATATATATATATATATATAGATAGATAGATAGATAGATAGATAGATAGAGAGAGAGAGAGAGAGAGAGAGAAGCAATCTACTAACATAGGAGAAATGGCTCAGTGGTTAAAAGCATTGACTCACTGGCTAGCTACCCTTACATAAAACCCAGGTTTGGTTCCCAACACCACAAGGCAACTCAAACCCATCTGTAACTCCAGTTCCCTGGGATCCAATACCTTCTTCTAGCCTCCAAGGGCACTCATACAAATAATATACATACACATACATACATACATACATACACACACACACACACACACACACACACACACACACACACACAAAGAAAATAAATATTGTTCCACAATTTTTCACTAAATAACAGACTATAACAGCTTGACTATGAGTGTTTCCCCTGGGTTATTTCTGAACAAATTTCTAGGGATGATTTTTTGTTGTTGTTGTTTGTTTTTTCAAGGACAGGATTTCTCCGTGTAGCCCTGGATATCCCAGAACTTACTCTGTAGCCCAGGCTAGCCCAAACTCAGATCTGCCTGCCTAGGCCTCTTGAGTGCTGGGATTAAAGGCTCTAGCCACCCCACCACACCCCCACACCTGCCCATAGAAGGATGGTTAATCTTGTTAATATAAAAGATAAAGGAAGGCCAAATCAGTAAAGCACAACATCTGGTTGTGTCTGTGAAATTTCCAGGAGCAATTAGACGATGAGAACTGTGACCTAATCAATGGGGCAAACCCTTGATGTGCTCATAAGATGCAAGCAATATTGGGAAGTGGTGACAGGCAGCAGGTGGCCCAGATGCAAGTGTGTCACTGAGTACACATACTTGGGACTGTATCTTGCCCTAGTCCCTTCCTAATTCTCTTTTTCCCTGGTTCCAGCTGCCATGGAGTGAAGAAGTTCCTCCTGGACAAGGGCTTGGGACCAAGCAGCCATGAACTGAAAGCTCTGACATGGTAAGCTAAAAATAATCATTCTTTTAAGCTGTTTCTATAAGGCATTTTTTGTCACAGCAATGAGAAAAGTGACTAACACACTTTCTAAATAAAAAAAAAAATCTATTTATTTACTTGTATATGTGTGTGTCTGTCTGTCTCTGTAGGAAAGCAGGATGCTGGGCTACGGGGTGCTAGGATCTAAACTCCCACACTCATTATAGTGCAGTGAGTGCTCCTAACCACTGAACCATCTAATTTTTTTAATCAAAAATTTAGTTATTTAATCTGCACTGACAAAAAAAAGAACAAATCCTCAAACAAACAAAAAAATCCCATACCAAAAACCAAAACATAAGTTACCTGGCTTGCAGGCACTAACATGCAATTTTCTTTGATGTATTTCCAGTATTATAAAGACAAAGACCTTATTGTCTCAAGCCTTTGACTATCTTAGAAGAAAAGTATTTTTTTTGGGGGGGGCGGGATTGAGACAGGGTTTCTCTGTAGCTTTGGAGCCTGTCCTGGAACTAGCTCTTGTAGACCAGGCTGGTCTGGAACTCAGAGAGATCTGCCTGCCTTCGCCTCCACCTCCTGAGTGCTGGGATCAAAGGTGTGCGCTACCACTGCTTGGCAGTGGATTACTTTTATACCTGTAATTTTTGTGCTTCACCACAAGACTAAGATATGCAAACTACTATCTATCCAACAGACCAAAGCAAATACAATAATTTGTGCTGATTTCATAAAGTTTCTTGTTCTTTATTTTAATTACTGGGGTATTTTTGTGGGAAGAACATGCTGTTAATTATTTTCTTTTATCTAGGGCTTCATGTAGGCTAGGATAGCGTCAATCTCACTAAATGGCCAAAGCTGAACTCAAACTCCTGATCCTTCTAATTTACACCTCCCAAATGCTGAGATTACTTACTAGCAAGCACTGGGATTATAGACATGCACCACCACACCCCGCTGTAAAAGTTTTCGAAGAACTGCTGTCACAAAGTGATAAACAAACCATACTTACCTGTATATATTCCAAGTGGCAACAGGTAAGTTGAGAAGGAAGATGAACCAGTGCAGTGAAGCAAGCATTAACACGGTGACAATGGTGTGGCCGGTCAGCTCTGGTATTACCCACTGCAAGCAAGCGAAGAACAAAGCATCACAGCTCCTGACCCATCTTTTCCGGCTGAACGTGACACATAGGTCAAACCCATGACAGTACAAAGAATTGTTATTTTTAGACTCAGAAACCCCAGATTTGACTTCTAACCCTAGGCAAATACATCTGGTAACAGCTTAAAGATGAAGCATTTAAATTTCAGTTCTATTTCACCCTAAGCAAAGTCTTAGAGTCTTTCGCTAAGCAGGTATGAATCACTAGGGAAAAAGCAGAGTACTACTTATTTTCTATTCCTGTATTTATGCAATATGCTAAAGCCTCCAGCTCCAAATTAATGTGGTTCATAGCCATATGCATGCCTTTCCAGTTAGAATGTCCATCTTCAAATTTTCCCCTTCCCCCTCCTAAACAACTTCCCCATTTCCATCATCCTCATCAAGTAAATGCCCCTCAGAAAGATAAAATAAATGGCCACGTGTAAATAAGTGCCTGCAATCCCAGCACTAGGAAGTCAGGGAAATCACTGCAAGTTCAAGGCCAGCCAAGGCTGCCTCAAAACTATAACAAAATAAAAATAGAAATTTTAAAATAGGAAGCTGGAGAGGTTCAGTGGTTAAAGAACTAGCTGTTCCTTGAGGCCTGGGTTTGTTTCCCAGCACCCATATGAGGTGGCCCCAACTACCTATAAGGCTTCGGGGATCTCTTCTGGTCTCCTCGGGCACCTACACACGTCGAATGGACTCACACAGACACATAAATAAAAACATAAAAAGAAATTGTTCTTAAAAGATTAAAAAAAAAATAGGACTGGAGAGAGAGTTCAGTGATTAGAGAGTACATACTGACTCTTCAGAGGGCCCAACTGAAGTTCCCAGTACTCACATCAGGTAGGTGACAACCCTCTATAATCCAAACCCCAGTGGGAACTGACATCTCTAGCCAGTACAGGCACCTGTGCTCACTTGCACATATAGACACACTAAACAGAACTAAAATAAACAGAACTAAAATAAAAGGATATTAACTTGAATAGCAATGGATAACAGAAGATTACTAAGCAATGTCTTTAAAAGTCACAAGGAAAAAATACTTGCCAGATTACAACCCTGTACTCAGATAAAGAATCAAAGATATACGTAAGATGTGTTCAAAAATAGACATTTTCAAAACTCCAATTCCCACATGTTGGCTGTACCTAAAGAAGCTACTCCCCCAAAATGAAGTTGTAGCCAAGAAGGAAGACACAAGAATCAAGAATCAGGGGATCCACAACCTAATAAGAACTATGAAACAGCTCAGAACAGCCAGGTAGAAGGCAGCACCGCCCACAGGCCTGGAAAGACACGCCCTCCCCATACATCCTTTTAAGATTTTGCTAATTCATTCATTTGAGGGAGAGAAAGCAAAAGGGGTCTTGCTATGAAGCCCAGGCTGGCCTCAAAATCCTGATAAAATTCTGGCCTCAGCCTCCTAAATACTGGGATCACAGGCACTCACTACCATGCCTGGCATTTTTGTATGTATAAGATAGTATGGAAGGGCTTATAGATGTGTCTGAAAACACAGTAATAAGTAAACAGAAAACTAAAGAAATAAAGAAATGTGACAATTATCTCCCCCCTCCCCTTTTCTCTTTTTTTCTTCCTTTCTTGTTGGTTTGTGAGACGGGGTTTCTCTCTGTAGCCTTGGCTGTCCTGGAACATGATCTGCAGCCCAGGCTGGCCTCAAACTCAGAGATCAGCCTGCCTTTGCCTCCTAAGTGCTGGGATTAAAGGTGGGCACCACTACAGGGGTAAGGGGTGGGGGTGCAAGGGAAAAATTATCACTGTCTACGCTGAGGCTCAGTAATGAAGACTTAAATTTTTACAAGATTAGATAATAAGGACATAAATACTGGAACATCAGCTTACTCTGAAAAGAGAAAAAGATGGTACAACAAGCCAGGCAATGGAAACGACAAGACGCAGAAGGAAGCAGGTGTTCTCACTAAGGGAATAACTAACTACCAACTCCTCTGAACCTCGTTTTTGTTTTTTTCTAACAGACTTAAGATATGAAGTCACAGTACTGTTTTTCAAGTCAAGCAAAACGAGCCTCTCAATATATTTTTACATGAAATTTTATCCAGAAAGGTTCTTTGTCTGTCCATCTCATAAAATGAATCAGGGACAAATGGTTTCCCTGTATCTAGATTAAACCCCCAACTCAGAGGATTTATGCCATTATAAAGTTCTTACTATACTAAATATAAAATGGCCTTAAAACGAATTAACTAATCGAGTCCATTTTTTCCCCAGAAACCACACAAGAAAGATCTTCTTTCACTCAACAACAGACAGAATGAACATTTTTTCCATGAGTGGGAGGTAGCAGTATGGGCCCAGAAAACAAGAACAATTAGCCTCGTGTAGACAAGAAGACCAGGAACATGCACAGTCAAGAAACAACATTTAAAATCAGATCTAGCATAACTTCATGATCTATAATACTGGAAAACATAGCAGTTTTGGCTACAACATTACAACAAATACCAGGATCCTAAAATGAAAAAAAAATGCAAATATTGATTATCTATAATAAAACAATATGAAAAGAATTGGCTTCAACCAAAAATGAGAAAGGCATGTCTTACCTTGTTTAATTTTGAGCAACATGATCTAGCGTTGATGTAATCACATTCTAAATCAGACAATGTAATGATCTGATGGTCAAGATAAGGAATTCCATATACATAATTTTGGTGTTTGTAAGGTATGTGTATGTGCACATGTATACAACAGAGGCTGATGTTGGCAATCTTCTATTGCTCTCCACATCTGACTAACCCTGAAACTTGCTGTTTGACTAGACTGGCTGGCCAACAATCCCCTGGGACCTTTCTGTTTCTACTTTCCCCAGTTCTGGGGACCAGAACTAAGTCCCTGCACAGCAGGCACTTTACCCTAATGAGCCACCTGTCATGACCCATACTTCCTGTTTAACAACCAGGTATTATTTATGCTACAGAAAGCAATTCCAGCACTCAGGAGATAAGTGGATTTGAGTTCAAGGACACCCTCAGCTACATAGTGAATTTGAATTTCAAGGCCAGGATGGCATACATTTAACACTCTCAAAAGAAAAAAAACAATTTAATAAAAAGTAAAATGTTCTCAAGTAAGTATCGCCTAACTCATCACTTTCCCCACAAATTCATAACCAGACAATGCCAATACCACAATTAACACTATAGTTCAAATTCATAAGACCCTCTTCCCAATTGGTTTATCTTCCAAACTCCTATTTTCAATCTACTCTGAAGATTCGTCTTCCTAAATCGCTGTATTTTGAGCTTTTCAAGTGACAAAACTGCCTGTTTATCACATATAACATGTTTCAAATAATACATACATTGTAGAATGATAAAACCTAGCCAGTCAAGATGTAATCCCTCACATGGTTACTTTTCTGGTAAAAGGTATGTGACTTTCACAAATCTGCTACATTGTAAATTGCAGTGAGCAGATGAATGCAGCTCCCCTACTCTCTCGGTGGATTGCGTATCCATTCTATGGAAGTGCTCTACCACTGAGCCACACCCCCAGATCAACAAAACATTCCTGGAACTTATTTCTAACAGAAATTGTGTATCCTTGACCTAAAGCCACTTTATGTCAAAAGTTTGCAGTGACTCACTACTGTCCTCCTCTTTTAATTAATTCTTCCTTCCCAACCTGATCTCTTGCTACCCACTTCTGGTGCTCTTTAACCATCACCCAGAAATGAACATGCCTGTCCCTGCAGCTCTTGCCAGTGACTGCAAATATCTATCCCCCTCTTCCTGTAGGTTTCTTCGCTACTCAAATTCCACACACTCCTAAAGTCTAAATGAAGTCTATTCTGAACATTTTCCAACTATTCTCTGTAAGGCTATTTATTACTGCAACTACCCTACAACACAGTAATGTGTTAAGTTTTCACCAAAATGCATCCTGAATGTGTAACCAATGTAAAACATTCCAGTTAATGCATACATCAAGGCTGTTTTAGAGGATCAAATCTAGTTTTCCAAACTGCAAAATTAATAATAAAAAGCATTGCATTTCAGACTGTCAAACAGCTCTGGTTCCTTATATTACAAGCTTAAACATTGGTGACCAGAATTTAGGCAAGAGATGTTGCCCCTTTAGTCAGTTCCTCAAAGGTAATAAAACACAGAGCTCTTTTCATTAGAAACCATCAAAGTAAAAACTGCTACTAATTGCAATAGGGCAGTCATTACTGGATGTTTACACAAGTTCTCGTTGTGTGTATTTAGGAAACAAATATCCCCAATTCGAAGAAAATCGAAGCAGGTAAGATACAGTGATGAGCAAGAATTCCTAATCCTAAATTTTGTCCCTTCCTATGAAAACAGTCAGTTCACAGCAAAGTGGAAAATGTACCCTGTGCAGCTAAAGTTGCACAGTACCAAACAAAAGGTTATATTTGATCAGAAAAGGGGATGTGATTTCGAAGGAAAAGGGCTAACATGCAAAGGTCCTAATGCGCTTTTCTAGTCATATTTAATTACTTAAAGCTGGACTGCATTACAACACTGCTACAACAAAGACTATGATCTCCCAAGAACTGGAGAGCTGTTGTCACACAACTACAGTGCTAGACTGCTGAACACCATTTGCTGGCCTGGAAAACCCTGAATTTTACCACGGATGAGGTGTGTTTTTTTGTTTTTGTTTTTTTTTAAGTTTAGAAACTAGGGACTAAGACACATGTAGTTACTGAATTTACAGATCTCCCACTGCTGAGGGCAACCAAAAACACTTCGAGGATGCTTCTGAAGTAACTCCTTTAAAAACAAGCAAACAAAAAAGCTCTCTAAAGAGCCGCACGTGAAGGCAGCACATCGCCGGCTCCCGGAGTGAGTCACCTCCTGGGTGTGGGGAGTCCCCAGAAGCGCAGACACCCGCGAGGACAAAGGGGCCAGGGTGCTGCCTGCCGGGGACCAGAGA